GGCTCCAGGTCTAGATTCTGGTCCAAGGTTCATGCTCCACATTCAGGGTCCAGGGTTCTTGTTCCACATTCAGGGTCCAGGTCCAGGGTTCACACTGCAATTAGTTAATGACTGACCGGCTGAGTGACTGATTGACTGGCTGGCTGACTGACTGACTGACTGATTGACTGGCTGACTGACTGACTGGCTGACTGACTGATTGACTGACTGACTGACTGACTGATTGACTGGCTGACTGACTGACTGACTGACTGGCTGACTGATTGATTGACTGACTGGCTGACTGATTGACCGGCTGACTGATTGATTGACTGACTGACTGACTGACTGATTGACTGACTGACTGACTGACTGACTGACTGACTGATTGACTGGCTGACTGACTGATTGACTGGCTGACTGACTGACTGACTGACTGACTGACTGATTGACTGACTGATTGACTGGCTGACTGACTGACTGACTGTGACTGATTGACCGGCTGACTGATTGATTGACTGACTGGCTGACTGACTGATTGACTGACTGACTGATTGACTGGCTGACTGACTGATTGACTGGCTGACTGACTGACTGATTGACTGGCTGACTGACTGATTGACTGGCTGACTGACTGGCTGACTGACTGATTGACTGGCTGACTGACTGACTGACTGACTGACTGACTGGCTGACTGACTGACTGATGACGTCCTCTGAGCTCGTTGGTGTCTGTTTCTAGGAAACCTTTTGAAGAACGTGATGTCACAGATCTTTCCCAGCTGACTGGATAAAACCGGATCAGATCAATCAGGATCTGTAATACCACCCAGGACCCGTCCGCAGGTACTGGACTCGGGTCAGAACCAGAACATAAATCCAGCTGCATCGAGGGAGGACGTCACGTGTTTTTCTCAAATGTAGCTTAAAGAGAAACAGAACAAAACGTCGTTAAGATTTTCCAGATGTTCCTCTGCAGCCAGAACCCTCTGTATGTCAGCAGAACCTTCAATGTGACCCAGATCCATGCTGGATTCAGAACCAGACCCTCTGATCCCAGACCTGTCTGCCACCTCCAGCTGCCTGAGTCTGATTAAATCACAGAGTGTTTGAAAAGCTGTCGGCCCGGTTCTGTTGGACCGCTCGTTTGTCTGAATGTTTACACACTCACAGAGGCACACGTGCACACACACATGCACACTGTGTCCTCTTTGGATCTTCAGAGTTTGGTTCTGGAGGTGGTTGGCCTGACATCTCGGCCCGTTGTCCTGGTGATCACAAGCAAACAAGCGCGTCAGTTGTGTGTGTACCGGTCCGGTCCGATTGGCCCGGTAAAACTGCAGTGCCTCAGATGAGCTGTTTGGACCAGCTCCCATCTGATGGTTCTGATCGGTCATAATGTTGTGGCTGACTGTTGGTTCTAAGTTCAGGGCTGCCTTGTTGTGGATCAGAACCAGGACTTTTTTGGTTCTGGATCCACCAAGTTTAGGTTAGAAACACATATTCTGTCAAACTGGTCCCATTAAAGTGGATCAGAACCTTCTCTTCACGGGTCGGTGGTTCTGAACCTGGTACCATCACTCTGCAGTGAGAGGCTGAGTGTTGGCTCTGAATAACCGCAGCAGAACCGGGTCGTTTGGGCCACAGACCGCAGGTTTGAAACGTCCAGATGAAGATGAAGACAGGAAGTTCACTTCTTCTTCTGTGGTTCTCCAGCTGCAGCTGAACCGGACTTTTTAATGGAACCAGGACCTGACTTTTAATGGAACCAGGACCGGACT